CACACACATATATATATATATATACAATATATATATATATATATATATATATATATTTTGTGTGTGTTTATCTGTATGTTCTTTTGTACCATATAGTTTTTAGGGGGACTATAGTTAAAATAAACATCATTTAAATCATATAACCAATGCTTTAATTGTACATGTCTGCAACCTAATAATTGTTTGTCGTGACACGCAATATATATATATATATATATATATATATATATATATATATACATATATGTATATATATATATACAGTTATTTTGAGCCAAATTTGGTTCTAAGCGCAAAAGCTGCTGAGGTTGTCATCATGACTGTCACGATCAAGCCCAATATGTATTCAGATTTTGATAACACCACATAGTTATTATATAGATTGACTTTAATGTAAAGGCTTTGTCTAACTCATACGTAAGAGTAGTAGTTCTCAGTCTAAGTTTGTTGAAAGTGGGCCACTTTGTGTCACTGGACAACTTCACATAGTGTTGGTCGTGAGCAATATTTATATCCTTAGCCCTTAGGGCATGAGACATAGCCTACATATTTACTAAATAAAGCAATGATGAACGGTGTTCCTGTTGGGTGACACAGATGTGGCGCGCCTAAACGCCTGTCATAGGTTTTCCACAGTTCTCCACAAGGTGTTACACTAACAAAATTCTACTTATTTTTAACGCTTTTGAGTTTCAGACTTCACCTCATAACGTTTATTACTCCCCACTCCCCACGCCCAACATAGTCGATAACATGTGTCGAAGACTGAGTGGTTGTTTTATTTTTTTAACCCCTTTTTTGCTGACGTTTGTATATCTGACCCGATAAAATAATATTTAGGTTTTATTGTTTCAATTTAGAAGGCTATGTTTTATGTCATCACTCATCAGACCGCCTCGCACATTGCGATACAAAAAAATTGCAACAACCAATTTGGAATGATCTTTTGGGTCGACCATTTTTTTAAAATTGAGTTTGACAAACCAAATTTTTTTTTGCTTTACAAGATGCAAGGCCCACTCTGGAGGCCTGGATTGGTCTCCGTGTAGAAATTAAATACAATTTGCTGGAGATCGAGAGGGTCATAATAAATAGTATAGGCGACACATATAAACGCTTTCGAGCGCTTTCCAGCGGCAACAATGACATTAAAAATAAACATTACAACAGTGATAATGAAGAGCTGATCAACGCAATATACTGGTTCTTCAATGTGCATGGACAGTGTCTTATCTGAAATATATCTGAATTTGTCATGAAGACTTGTTGTGTTCTATAGATGGTATTCTTGCAGTTGCCAGTAGCGGTCACTGTGAGTTTGTAGGTACGGATGGTGTGTATTTTTACCCTAATCTAACCAATACAGCAACAATGCCGGCGTACATGCCTCCAGGGTGCACCAGTCGGGGCTACGCTGATGTCCAAAAAGTAGTACAGGCGGGATTCGGCGTACGCATGCAGACTCTTCGAAGAACACACATAGGCAAAAGCTTTCTTTTGAGACCTACGTCAGCGACGCCCAAGCACGAAATGGGATCACAATTAGTAGTGGGAAGTAGACTGGCAACGGTGCGGTGGTCGGGCCAGTGTTGCATATCATGTTGCTTGCGATTATCAGATGCGTCGATTCGGTGTACCATGGTACCTCGACGTTATGCGCATACTCAAAATGACCGCGGACGCGGCGGCAGACCTGAATACAAACGTGGAGCTAGGTTGAAGACGTCTATTGAGAGTGAGGATAATCATAAACTGAAAAGAAATAACAAGAACGGTGGTAAAGTCGACGTAAGTACGAAAGCGGTCGCAGACGTCGACCTCAGACAAAGTGGGCAGATGGAAGAAGTACGCAGGGGTGTAGGTCACTTGGGACAAGGAGGGATGAACGATAGTATAGAATTTCGTGGAGCGGAGGACGGTGTCTTTAACGATACACTGAGTGCACGTACACAAGTGACAGATATCTCAACATCACCAGTCCGTTCGCGAATACAGGCCGCGGCTGATCTGGGTAATATGCTTCTACGGTACATAAAGAAAACTACGAAGCCTGCCGGACCTGAGGATGCAAAGCCAGAAACCTTAGCTATTGAGAAACCATATGAGGTAGGGCAGATTGGGCACGATCTTGGGCGCAGCAAAGAGCAGGTGAATCCTGGAGTTGTTACACTGCAGAGCGTGAGCTTTTTCAAACTTAAGGGATGGCAGCACAATTCTCTATATCGTGATCATGCCGCAAGCGTGGAAAAAGTCACTTTGAAAATACCTTCGGGTGAACACACGGAGAAGACGTTACCATTACGGCTAGTAGAGAGCGAGCGATTATACTCTAAGCGAAGTGGTAAAGACTTTCACTCACATACTGATGAACCACTACATTCGCAACCGAGTACTCGTCTTCTGAAATTGGTATCTGATGGAAATAAGAAGGGGAATTTAAATGCAGCAGTTATGTACACTGAGCAAATATTGAGCGAGGGGTCACTGTTAAAGGAGGCATTTGTGGACGACGTTATTGATGTTTGCATACGTGCACGCAAACCGATTTTGTGCGCGCGTGTGCTCGAGGAAATGAGGGCGAGTGGTGAACCGGTGTTTATACGGCACTTGCTGTCAACAGCATCGATCTTTGGCAACGAGGGTGATATAAGCGGTGTACGAAATTTCATAGCAAGTAGTCGTCAAGCATATCCGAAATACTTCAAGCACAAAGACAAATCCGCTAAGGATATATATCATTATCTGGCGGACCTACACGCGGCGGAGGGCAACTTGACGGCCGCTCGAACGTTGCTTGAAGGCATGGGGTCTCCAAGTACAACGACGTACAATACGCTTATGAAAGCCTATCTTGTTGCTGGACAACCGAGAAGGGCTTTGCGGGTTCTACAAACGATGAGGAATACGGGTGTGGTGCAGGATATACAGGCCTACAATACGGGTATACAGGCATGTGTGGCGATGGCGGATGCTCCCACAGCATGTTCATTGTTTGACGAGCTCAAGGCCTCAGAAGGTCTCGAACCCGACGCGGTAACGTACAACGGTGTGCTGAAAGCATTGCAATCGTCCAAGGATTCTGCTCAGAGTGAGGGCATACTTCGTGAGATGAAGGAACGAGGCATCAAAGTTGATTCATTACATCTTCAAGGTACTCATACTAGGCTCAATTCAAGGGAGACGGTGGTCCCTGGGGAGGCATCACAGGTGGTTTCCAAGGAAACTGCGTTATACAATGGCAGTGAGAATGCGAATCAGACCGATAGCTCTTTCACGCCACAAATAGCGGACGGAGAGTTAATCGATGTCCAAAGTTTACAACACAAACCTCAGGACGTTCAGCTCAATCCGCTCCGAAAGTCAATGTTGGAGGAGTTCAAACTGCGAAGTGGCGCAGATGCAGCACTGAATGCCGAGCGATTGCAAAATATGAGCACACTGTTAGAGAACGGTACTGTGGACGATGCCATAAAACACTTCGCAGAGGCACGCGAGACCGATATGTTTGCTGCGGTGTTGCAACTGGCTGCGATTTCGGAGAGGCGGGTGAGTGCTCAAGACTACTTGACCGCGGCGCAGGCGTGTGAGAAGGCGGATAATCTGGCTAGCTTGGAGGAATTAATGGCACAAATGCGCACCAAGCATAAAGATCTGTTCAATGATTACCGGGGTGGCGATGCACTGCACTGTCTAATTGCGATGTACACCAAGCAGGGTCGTGTGGCCGAGGCCAGGCAGACCTTCAACAGTATTGTGCAGCCTCGCCTGCACAGTTATAGCGTGCTTATGAAGGCGTATATCATGGAAAAGCAGCCAGCAGAGGTCTCAAATTTGTTGAGCGAGATGATGTTCAAGGGCGTTGCGGTCGACGAATCGACATACAACTCGTGCCTGGGTACTTGTGCTAGCGTGCGTGAAGGGGAATCGGCGTTGATGTTACTGGGGCATATGCAGGAAGTAGGTATGATCGAACCCACGAGTGCCACATACGACGCCGTGATGTCAGCTCTGATTCGCGATAAGGACGGCAAAAATACGATATTGGTGGCTCAGGCCATGCGTCGACGAGGCTATACTCTGCAGACTGATGCTAAGCACCGCTTTGTAGTGGCGTGTGTGCGGCAGAAAAGGTTTGCGGAAGCGGCCAAGTGCGCCGAAGAATTATTGAACGAACGTGTGCTACTGCCAAGCTTGGATGTTTTGTCTGCGCTACGGGTGTTTGAAACGACTCGTAAGCCTCAGTTAGGGTTGAAGGTTTTGATACAGGCTGAAAAGATAGACATGCTTGTAGTGAAAGCACACTACGCATATCTGGTCGAGAGTTATGCGTCTCGTAGCGATTTCCATTCAATGCGGATATTGGCGAGGTACATATCTGGCACGCCGGGAGGTTTTAAACCAAGTTCTACTTACATGACCAATATGATAACGTCACATCTCGACAAAGCTGATATTTCTGAAGTGAAGAAGCTGCTGAAAGAAATCAGTGGACCCCTTACGATCCCATATAGCAGGTTTATGCAAGCATATACGGATGCGAATCAACCGGAGAATGTACTGGAACTCATGCAGGCAATGCACAGTAACGGTGTCGAGCGGGACTTTTTCCCTTACACTCTTGCCTTCAGTGCTTGTGCTAAGACTAATAATGGAGACCTTGCTTACGCGTTGTTTTTAGAGCTAAATGCTCAGGATGTGATTGCCCCCACCCAGAAGATGTATGCAGAAGCTGTGATGGCATTGGAGGGTTCCAACGATGGTGAGCGTGCCGATCACGTTGTTGATGAGATCGCCAAGATGATCAATACGCGTGGGTACCATGATATTGTTGCGGTGCGAAACTTGCTAAACTCCACGAGTAGACATTCCACGGCACTATACAATAAGTTTATGCATGCATATGCACGCGCAGACACCCCAGACAATGTAATGCGAATTCTGGAAATAATGAGCCAAAATCGCGTCGCGCGGGACCTTCAGTCGTATCAACTCGTGCTGAGTGCTTGTAGGGAGCTTAAGTATGGAAACGTTGCACACTCAATCTTTCGCGATCTGCAACGTACGGGTCTTACGATAACCGAACGGATGTATGCAGACGCTGTCATGGCCCTGAACTCTAGTCGTAGCGATCGCGCTATCATCGTATACTCAGAGATGTTGAAGAGAGACTTCCGGTTGCCTAAAAAAGAGCATCAATTGTTGAATAACACCAGCTTGAGGCCTAGGAACGATTCGTTGAAGGTATTTACTAGTATGAAGATTCTCCTGCATCACGGTGTATTGCTGAAGGAAGTACACGCGGAGGAGGCAACGAAGGTCTTCATTAGTCACGGCAGACCTGACCTATGTGAGCGTATTGTACACGAGGCACGCGTGGAGAGCAACCTAACTGTGCCTATGATTGTGTACAACAACACAGCCAGTGCACTTGCTAAGGTCGGAGATGTGCATACTTTGCGTACCGTTGTAGCACATCTTCTTAAGGAGTATCCCGTCCATCAAGCTGGCAGTACGGCGACGGACGCCGTGAAGGTACTGCTCGAGATGTATGCTCAGAGGGGAGAACTCAAGGATGCCTGGGGGCTAATAGCGTCCTCGAGTATACCACAGACGGTCATGTACAATGTACTGATTGAGACTCACACCACTGCGGCACACCCAGAGCGTGTCCTAGACGTACTACGTGAGATGAAAGAGAAACGCGCACCAGCCGATGTAACAACTTATACTAAGAGTATGCATGCCTGGAGCATGATTGACGATTCTCTAACGGCGGAAGCGATGATTAATGAGATTACAGCTCTGGCGTCGGTTAATGACATCAAGCCGAACCTGAAGACACACAACAAAATATTAGAGGCTTCGGCCAAAGTGGGTGATCCAAAACAATTCGTAAAGGTCTTGCATCAGACGCACAGCGGTATGACTGACAAATCCGCGAAAGAAGTATTGCAAGATCTGATCTCTACCAAGATCAAGAGAGGGGAGTTGCGGGATGCTTGGAAACTGGCGGCGAATTCGGGGGCATCACCGAAAACCGTGTACAACGCACTGTTAAAGAATTATATCTCATCGGCTCAGCCTGAGCGTGTAGTGGATGTGCTGCGAGAGATGAAACGGGAGAGGATGTCACCAGACGTGCTCACGTACAAAACGAGCATGCGTGCTTGGAGCATGCTGGGCGACTTACCCACTGCAGAGGGGCTGTTGGATGAGGTCATGGCTTTGGCATCTGTGAGTGCGATCAAGCCAAACGCAGCTACACGCGACCAAATATTGGAGGTCCTCGCGAACAAGGGCGATTCGAAACGATTTGTAAAGGGACTTCTGCAAATACTAGTCAACAAGAAGCATGCCACCAATCGCTACCGTACAAAAAGGCGCGATGTTGTGGAACTACATGGTGCAGGGGCAAGTGCACAGGGAATGCACTCTGCACAGACCACAGAAGAGTACAATGCAGCACTATCCCAGGCGATACATGACGGCCAAGCCACAGAAGCAAACAGACTGCTGATGAGTTTGCAACGGTCCAAGCTAGTACCAAACATACGCACATATCAGCTTGTTTTGACATGGAACGAAGGCGCTGACTGGTTAATGAGCCGGATTCATATGCCAGAGGGTGTCGAAGCTTTCGCGCAGATATTAGAGGCCTGTCAACATGCAGGCTTGGAAAAGACCATGTTCACCACTGAATCCCGCACGCAAATCGAGCTATACACCCAAATGCTGCAGGACAAATATGGAGGGATGGTCGCTGATGGTAACGAGATGTACACGTCCGACCAATACGCAGATGCAATGGCTGTGTACATGCACAATAATAGTTGGGAGCTAGCCCTGGATATGTGGGATCGCCTGTGTGAGAGCGGGGTACGAAAAGAGCCCAGAGTGTACCAACTGGCGACCCGTGCGTGTGGCCGGGGAAAGCTGGGTGCGGAGGCGTTGCGGTTGTACGCGGATATGCAGAATGAAGACTTCATGCAGATACACGGGACTGGCGAATATCATTTGCTAACCGCGAACAATGTTATCAATGCATGTGCAAAGGCGGGGATGCACACTTCGGCGTTGGATGTGTTCCGCAAGATGGAGAGTAGAGGAGTGACGCCCAATTACCTATCGTATCGATTTGCAATGAGTGCATTCAAGAACTCTGGACAATGGGAACAGGCCTTCGCTCTATTCAATGAGCTCAAGGAGACGCAGAAGGTCAAGGGAGGCTTGGAGTTTGGTGAGATTATAGATGTGCTGGTGAGTGCTGGACAGTACGAGAAAGCACTAGACATTTACAAGAAGATGCACCGACATAAGGTTATCCCGGATGGTTACACCAAAACTTTAATCATGAATGCATACGGCGCAAATGGGCAGTGGCAGGAGGCGCTCCGTGAGTTTGAAGGAAAGAAGGACATTGACGGGAAAGATGTTGTGAACACTAGTCTAGTCGATCGTTACCAATCTGTACGGAGCAGTGACAGTCGAACCGACGCCACACACCTATACAACAGTATGTTGGGTGCATTCGCCAGGAGCGGACGCTGGCGAGAAGCCGTACTTATGTTTGGCGTGATGGACCAAGAACATGTGCATTTGAACACCGCAACTTACGCGCACGTGATAAGAGCGTTTTGCGAAGCTGGTCAGTGGGTAGAGGCCGAACAGGTTTTGAAAACCCTAGCACCCACCCAGTTAGATATCAACCACAAGCACGATTACTATGTGGATGCAGGGGCCAAAGAACTTGTCAGTATATTGCAAGACTTGCTAAAGGGCGGTAGATGGGATGGGTGTGGGTCGCCTCACTTATACGACTACCTGACGGGGGAGATCTTCTGGCGCAGGGATGACTACATCGAGCTTCTCCACGCATACAGAAAAGCGGGTAGGTGGCGACAATGTGCCACCCATGTGCGTGATATGCCCACTGCTGGCTTCGTACCCTGTGCAGTGTCCTATAATATGGCCATTGCCGCTTGCAAGGAGGCTGGCGCGAAAGCTCTTGACACGGCCTTTGATCTGTTTCACGATCTCCAAAATCTGAAACCCACTTACGGCGTGCAGCCGAGTATCGTTACGTATAACACAATGATTGCGGCTTGTGCGGGGGCGGGGGAGTATGCGCGTGCCGAGAGCGTGTTCAACGATATGAATGGCATGCAACGGACCGACTCTACATATAGCAGTATAATCACGGCTTGCAGGAAGGCGGGCATGCCAGAGAAAGTACAGCATTACCTGCATATGCTGGAGCACGACGACACTTATCTCAAGCCTCAAGACAGCAGGGCTGCCTACACGAGTGCAATAGCTGCTTACGCACACTCCGGTTTGCGCGCAGAAGCCTTGGCGGTGTTTGACCGTATGACAACGAGAGGTGTGCCCAAGGACACGCTCACGTATACGAATCTGCTTAAAGCTTGTGTGGAGTCAGAGGATATGGATACAGTTGAAAAAATTCTGAGTGAAATGCGAGAGGGTCTCGTCAGCATGAACAAGGACACCTATTTCTACACCTTGACTGGGTATGGACGGACAGGACAGGTGGACTCGATGGTGTCTACCTTGAGGCTTATGCTAAGCAGCCACACACACGGGCAAAGCCACGCACAAGGTAGCAAAAACTATAGTACTATACGTGCCAGGAAGCGCGAAGAAGGGGCAATAATGGAGCGCGCATTCTACAACGCACTCAGTTATATGCCCGTGGGAACTTCGGAGGATATTGCGTTGGGTCTGCGTGATTATTTGAGACTCATTCCATTTCTCAGAACCACTCGAATCTACAGCATGATGATGGTGCATCTCAGTACACCAACGAACTGGAAGCACGCCCTACAAATGTTCGACAATATGGAAGAAAATGGTGTCGAGCGAAGCGCAGTGTCCTTTATCATGGCTACATGTGCGTGCTTGGAAGGGGGCGAATTACCACAAGCACAGCAATTCTTGCACTTCGCACTCACACGTCAGCACAAGTCTAAAGAAGCCATGGATTTCGAATACGTGAACTGGCGCAGGCTCTTGGGAACCATGCACAAGCATGGAGTCGAAGGCATGCAATCGCAACTGGAACTTATATACGAGCGTATCATGGAGAAGTCTGTCGAAATCGGAGCGACTTGGAGGGCAATAGACACAACAAAGGAACTCGATCTGCACAACCATTCCCGTGCTCTGGCCAAGGTGGCGGTTAGAAGACTGCTGAACCGCATGGTGGACACACTGGGCACGACGGAGGGCAGAGCGCTGAGAAACAACTTCCGTGGGTTTAATGTGGGGATAGGCTCGCGTAGTGGCGAACAGGGGCCGGTATTGAATAAGTGTGTTACTGATCTACTTGAGCAAGAACTGCAACCCCCGATAAGAACACGAAATAATCGAGCATATCTGATAGAAATGAATCAGGATGATCTGGATAAATGGCTGCTGGAAACACATATAGCAGCCCAGGCAGACAAAGAAAGTAGAGAAAACCAAAAGTAAATAATATCTTGCCAAGTGATTTTGTTGGATATTGGTATATATCTATATAACACTAAGGCCAAAATTAATATATGTTATACATACATATCTCACCGTGTATGGTCAAGTATACCGGCGTACAAACATCTATCGTTAGCCATTCGTATGCCTATCGATCAAAATATCTGTAGAAATCTAGGTACAGAGTGAAAGTGTTAATTATGTGCATGTACCTGATAAACATACGCGTATAAGCATATAAATATCATTATATATATATATACGTGTGTGTGTGTACATGTGTATATACTATTTTTAATCTATCTAAGTATATATCTATCTATCAACCTATCTGTCCATCTATATATATATATATATATAATATATATATATGTGTGTGTGTATATATATATATAGATGGACAGATAGGTTGATAGATAGAAAAAGAGATGGATAGATTAAATATGTATATATACATGTACATATACATATATATATATATGTACATGTATACATACATATTTAATCTATCTATCTATCAACCTATCTGTCTATCTATCTATATATACATACATATATATATGTATTTATATATATACATACATATATATATATATATATAAATACACATCACTATATTTACATGTATATGTTCATA